GCCCAAATCGGGCTACCATAGACCAGAATAGGCCTAATGATAGACTTTATAGAGCAGGAGCTTGTGTTTGATCGCAAGCCTACTCTTTCGAGAAATTAGGCAGTGGAGTTTAATACTCGCACCAGTTGCTTTAGCAACTGCATTCTTAATGTGGGAATTGAATGATAATTTTGGTTCTAGAAACAACCCCAGGTATCTATATCAGTTACCCAGGGACGGGCTGGCCAAAAGAGTGATACTCCCTAATGGAGAAATAGAACGCTTCCGAGTAAATAGCATACAGGCTGATTTGGTTGCATTTTTACTTTTATTTTCCAGGTGGTTAGCCATTTTTCTAGTTTGTAAACATAAAATTGAAGGTCTTTAACAGCAAGCTGTGGTGCTTTGTTTGTGTAGCAATTGCCGTGTCATCGGCATAACAAAATAATTTAGTTTGACAATCCCTCGGGATGTCATTAATATAAATATTGAACAACGCGGGCGCTAATAGCGACCCCTGTGGTACACCCCCTTCTATTGGTCTGTTTAGACATCTTTAGATTTTCATCTTAGATAGCTAGCATCTTTAATAGCTCAGATAGGCTTCATATCAGCCAATCAGCAGCCCAAGGGGACAGAAGATCAGGCTTCTGATTGGCTGATAGATTCTAAATTTTTATCACCAATAACAATACAACAACGAACATCAACAATATCAGAGTATCAACCAGCCTGATTGGACAGAAGATCAGGCTTCTGAATGGCTGACAGATTATAAATTTTACAACAATACAGCGTTAATCAACAACAATAAAACTTCAACCAATAACAATGCAACAGCAGTACATCAACCAATAACAATGCAACAATAAAACATCAACCAATAACAATGCAACAACGAACATCAACAATATCAGAACATCAACCAGCTTGTTTGGACAGGAGATCAGGCTTCTGAATATCTGAGAGATTATAAAATTTTTACAACAATACAGCATCGATTAACAACAATAGAACATCAACTAATAACAATACAACAGCAGAACATCAACCAATAACAATGCAACAATCGAACATCAACCAGTAACAATGAAACAATAGAACATCAACCAATCAGCAGCCTGAATGGATAAAGATCAGGTTTCCTGACTGGCTGACGGGTTCTAAATTCCTACAACAATTCTGTGTTATTTTTTACAAGTTTATTTTTATTAAAATTATATTGATTTAAAAGCAGACATTCTAAATTTTTGAGAAAATTTCTTCAATGTTTAATATTATGAAACTTTTCTGTAAACTGTACGAAATATCGTAAGAAAAACACAACTTTTAATTTTTATTTTTCACAAGATAAAAGATAATAAACTCTACATCTGTCCAAAATTTTAAAAATTGTTAGCTATTTGAAAACGCGCGCAGTGAACGCACTTCCTGTTAGTTCCACACATTCATTTTAAAGCCATTTTATTAATGAGGCACTGTTCTCAAAAAATCGTAATGCAGTAAATAATCTCCAGAATTTTCAACGGATTAGCTTAACTTGAGGACCATTGAAGAAAGGCTGTCAACTCCCTTTATTTTTCTCGTTGCAACCTGAAGGGGAACGAATAGCATTGTACCTGGCTAAGATTCAAGTTTTCACACGAGAATGTAAAAATTCAATGTGCGATTCACGTTACCTCTGTTTGAAAAAAAAGAGAAAACTAGCACATTGAGGGGGAATTCAAGATGCCATTAAATTCCTTCTCAGCTTTCAACCACAGAGTTGGCACGAACGATGCATTCTCGTAGAAGCAGCTGCATTCTTGTATCGCTGATGCATTTGGTAACTTGGCTTAAGATATTCTTGGAATGTAATGAATAAAATTTATTCCGTTTAGAGAATTTTAAAAACTCATTACAATCCTTAGGGTCAAAAGACACATTCTAGATTAAATAATGATTCATATTTGATCAAAAACTTCGAAAAAAAAAACAACAACATATAATTCATTTTTTAAGATGTTCAATATCTCATTAACCTAACATACTGAAAAGTAGTTATTACAATTGCTTTCAAAAATTTGAATACTTTTAATGAAATATTATATTTTTTATATAAATAAAGCATCTAAGTTCATGTCTGGCAATATAAAAAAGCATGAAAATGATAATAGAATTGTATAGAGGTAACAGAAATTTTGGAAAACAAAATTAATTTTTGTCAAATCAAGTTTTGAAACTAATTGAATAAAAGTCTAGTACGTTAATATTTAATATGAACGATTATTAAAGAGAGGTTAAATAATGAGGATTACATAAATTGGTCAAACATCTTCCATCATCGTCATATTTGACTAGACTGCTCATGGTGGGCCAAGGCCTTCTTCTTACTGGAAGATTTCGAAACATGGGAATTTTTTCTTTTTACTGGGTAGGTTTGTTTGCCCTACGCACAAACGAAGCAATTGAAATAATTTTCTTTGTTTAAAAATGAAAATCACGCAGTGCAATTTATATAATAGTTTAAGAAATCAATGTAGAAGATAGTTAAAAAAATTATTTCTAATTTACAGTATTGATATATTGTAAAGAAAATATTCGATAATCCGCGTGGTAGAAAAAATTTTTTATTCCAATGCAGAAATGATAAACACTTAGACATCTTGGTCTTTTTGGATGCCTTAAGGCAAAGGCGCTGCAACAGACGTTACCGCTTTGCATTATTCAGCGGACGCGCGTAACTCTCGAAGATACGGACGCGGAGTAACAATGCCTCCGCAGCGCTCTACGATCCTATTAGACCGGGACCTACGGTTTAAAGTTGATTCGAACCACTACAAACATCCATGGCATCGCCGGGACTCGAACCCGAAACCTGTGGTAATGATCGCCAGAGCGCTAGCCACTCCTCGGCTATTCAGGCCCGCGTTGTGTAGAAGTAAATACCAGAAAATGTATACATTCAAAATAGTTTAACAAAATCTTAAAATTATAATACCAAAACTTATGGTTATTTACAAATGAGAATATAACAACTTATCAAATATTATAAATTCAATCAAAATAATCTGCAAACTTGATTTTTTTTTATTGGAGAACATTTCTATAAATCAAATAAATATTATTTTTCTGAGACGGAAAAATATTAATGTATAGGATTTCAATAAAAAATTTCGATTTCTTTTACATAAATTTCAAGAATAAATATTACTTATTAAAACAAATAAAATATCAGTTAAATAATATTTCCATGTTTAACCTAACTGACTTAAATTATTTTTATTTGGCAAAAAAAAATATTAAAAATTTTTTACTTGATTTTATTAACAAATATCATCTATATATTCGGAATTCAAAAATTATTTAATATAAGTTTCTTTATTGATATTTTTAAAAATTATTTTAACATTATTATAAGTACAGTTTTCAAAAGACATTCAATTTCTTACATTTTTTGTTATTTAACACTTTTCCCTTTTTATGTTAAAAGGGAAAAGCTTAAAATTTCTCCGGAATTAGCAGTAATTAATTAGCTAATACCAGAACAATTTATCACAACGTAGTTCGGCAGGATTCGAACCTGCGCTTGGATGGACCCAATGGATTTCTAGTCCGTCGCCTTAACCACTCGGCCACGACCACGCATTTTAAGGATGTATAGTTAGACTACAAATAGCGTAAATGGTAAACATTCGGTTTAACAGAGAGGAAGGGGGAAGGGGCATCTGGCTATAAAAGGCCTTTATTCCCCTACTAGCAAATAATAAATTAACGAAAAATGCAATTTTAAACAGACAAGATATATATTTTTAACTTGAAAGTGGAGAAGTGGAGGATTTTTGATAATAGTTATATAACTGTCAGGAGTGTTTTTTTTCTGGCGAGAACTGACATGTTAGAGCTAGCACAGCGTATTTATATAAAATAAAAGGGGAAATTTACATTTGGGAATACAGAATAATAATCATCCACGGATAAGTGGGAAAAGAATCACACGCATGCAATTTTAACAGCTAAAGCAGATGAATCTATTACTTGTTAAGGATGCCAACTATACGCGGGCAAAGCAGTTAAAAAAAATTATAAAAACTGAAATCCTTTCACGAATTTCAATTTATCATGTGTGAACATACTTTGTTCGACGAATACGTATGGAAGTATACCAATGTTCAATAACTCAAGAAATCTAACGTAACTATCGGTCAGAATACTGTAAGAACTATCAAATGTAATAGCTACAAAAATTTAATAGTAAATTTTATACCAAAGTTTGATAACTCTATTGATTGTTCAAATACTACAAGAAGCAATACCTACTTCAGACAGAGAAGTCTGTTAAGTGATGGTTAAATTAACTTTTATAAACGCAAACTAATCCTCAGATATTATTTTGAGGATATTAAAACAATTTGTTTATATTTTGAAAACCAGACAATTCAGAATGAACTACAGATCAAGTGACTTGATATGGGTCAATCGTTTTATTTAGCAACACATATTTCATGCTAATTTCACAACACACATGAATAAAACCACGAGAAAATCAGAGTTTATTCTAAAAAAAAAGTCTTTGAAGTTATTGTTTAATTTTTTTTTTTTTTTTTTGCAGACCTCACGGACTTCTAACCAGGACAACATTATGTTTGCACATGATAATATAACTACTAGTCCTGTGCAATAAGTAAAAATATAATAGTTAAAGTATAATCGCGATATAGCATATGTGTTTTCATCTAATTTTTTTAATATCATGCAATCTAAAAATTTTACTTATTGAAAAATTAAATTTCTTTTTTATTGCAATTAAAATCCCTATTAAATGACATTTACTTCTCTACGATACCACTGTTTTTGAACACGTCTGACTTGGCCGCTTGCGGTGGTTGGATTATATTACGCAATATAGATCAACATTTTCAAATTTCTTATTGTTTTTCCTTTATCCTTGTTATCTTATTAATATTCTAAAGATTAATCTCATTTGTGAATAGAACAAGAGCTAAAAGTTATGGAAGGTAGGGGAAAAAAAACAAAAACTAAAAACCAGCCAGGATTCGAAGCTGGAATCTCCTGATTTGTAGTCAAGCGCGTTATCCGTTGCGCCACTGGCCCACTTGCCATGCTTTTGCGTAAGTAATATATATTATACTTATATTATCTGAGTTTAATATCCTCCCTCCCCCTATATATAATCCCTTATTATCCTCCCTCCCCTATTATATCCCCTATTTAATATCCTTATCTCCCCTCCCCCCCCCACACACACTAACTGCTCCTCGCTTATTAAATCTTTACTAATTATTTTACATATTAGATGTTTTTGCTCATTTGTTCATAAATGGGGATAAAGCCATTATGGCCCAGGCCCCCTTTCTCCCCCTTCCTCGAATGACTGCCCCACTTATAGATGTTCATAATCTGCAAAATATTAAGTATTGTAAACATATATTTTTTTTAAATGAAAAAATACATTTGTAGAACACTTGAACTAAATTTTATCACATTATATTTGAGTTAACTATTTGAAATATTGAATTTTTTTTTACTAAAAATAATTGTATTTGAAATACAATGTGTCTGAAAATTACCGGATTTATTTAAAAAATTATGTAAAGGGGGAAAAAAAGGAGCCGAGATGAGAACAAAATGGCCGTAATAAGTGCCATTTAATTACAAAAGTTAATAAATTTTTGATATGATATTCTTTGGCTGTTCGTCGCAAGTCCATGTGCTATTTGATTTTATCCATGTATTGGCAAGCGTTTGTGGCATTCTAAGAAAATATTTTTCACCTTCCAAATTGCATTGGAATACAATACAATTGCATGAATACAATAGAAAAGGCATATTAGTTAAGGAGCAATTGTATGATTAAATTATCGAAGTTGTTACTGCTTGGGAATACTGATTAAATTTTGATATGAGATTCGTACTAACACGGGATCTCAGAAAAATTTATTAACTTTTTGTATTTATATTATAAGTTGATAAAGGCATTTCATATCTATCTATCTACACTCATGTCCTTAAATTAAGGATAATGAAGTTCAGGCAAAGAAAGAGACAGAAGCAAAACAAATTTGACTTATTTGTAAAGTCTATTTATTAAGCAAAAGGTAAAGAGCAAAAAAAAGATGCTATATGTTTGACATAATTAATAAAAATTGCGATTTTTTACTCCCTGGGGCAAATTTCAAAAAAGAAGCTATTTACAAAAACAGTATAACATGGTTAGTATGATGGTTAATTTGAGTATGTCTCCCGGACGATGCAATACAGGCCTTACAACGCCTAGGCATGCTGAGTATCAAATTATCAATCTGATCTTGGGGAATATTACACCACTCATCAAGCAATGCCCTCCGAAGTTCCGGTTGACAGGTGGGAGGGGGCGGGTTGCAATTCGTCGGTCGAGCATATCCCACACATGCTCTATTGATTCAAGTCCGTGAGTATGCTGGACAATCCATACGGGTGATATCCTCCAATTGAAGGCATTCGTCCACAATGTTTGCACGGTGAGGACGGGCGTTGTCCTCCATAAACAGAAATTCAGCACCCGTGGCGCACCGAAACAAACGTACATGTTGTTCCAGAATGACATCCGATAGATGTGGCCTGTCATCGTTACACTCTGAACATGCAGGTCGTTCTGGAACCAAGAATAATTCCTCCCCAAACGAGTCATCCTGCACCACCGTAACGGTGTCGTTCAATGGTGTTCTCTTGGTGGTAACGGGTACCTGGCGCTCTCCATATGAAAGTCCGGCGAGAACCAGACTGCAAACTAAACCTGACTCGTCAGAAAACATCACACAAGACCACTGTTGCGGTGTCCACAATGCATGCTCTCTACCCAGGTTAATCGCAGGCGACAGTGAGTTGCGGTAAGTGGAACACATCTGACAGGCCTACGAGCATATAGACCAATGTGCCCTAAGCGTCTGTACACGGTCTGCCTTGAAACTGTCGTACCGGTAGCTGAAAAGAGCTGACGAGACAGGTCTGATGCTGTGCTCCGTCTGTTTCTTTTGGCAGTAACTGCTAAATATCGGTCCTCATTCGGCGTTGTAACTCTCGGGGGCGACCTGTGCTGTAACATCTACTCACATTACCCTCATCTTGGAATCGTTGTCAAAGCCTGGAGATGACACTCTGGGCGATTCCAAGTTCCTCGAATACTTCCAGCAGGGTACGTCCACATTCCAGTCGTCCGATAATTCTACCACTTAAAAATCATCCAAATGCTTCCTTTGTGCCATAACTATGCGGTTATTGCACTGAAAGGCTTTTAAAGCGCTTGTGAACAATTTTACTTCTTTTGCCACCATTCCTTATATACCCTCTCTTACACCCTCGTCATTGACGTACTATCCGCGCCATCTGGTGGTTTCCTGTAATTTGCATATTCTTCTTCAAGATGTGTGATAATTCTACAGTTGAAATTTTTATTTTAAGAGTTCAATTTCTGTGTGATTCTGAATTATCCTTTTTTAATTTATGGACATGAGTGTATAAATATATATCTGATTTTTTTTGTTTTTTCCTTCAGCCCTATACTTTATCGTTCTCTGCAGAGAAATCCGTTTACTTAGTGTTATCGGGAATACATCGCTAGAGGAGTCTTTTATTGGTTTGATTCAGTCATCCAGCGAGCATAAATATCATGATTTATGGTACCCCTGAGGGTAAGTATTCTTTGGTAAAACTATCATCAGGGTATTATAGTTATTTTCTTTTTGGGCTTTACTATTTTCTTTGGAGTACTGAATTCCCTGGACAATACATTTCAAACCTTGATATTGTGTTACACACACACACACACACACACACACACACACATATATATATATATCACATATAATAATAAAATTAGTCATTAAAAATTCTCCGAATATAATTTTTTTAAATCACTTTAATATTACTTGTAAAGGAAAATGAAACATAATTTTGAAAAATAACAGATATCCCTAAAAAATTATTGTATTTTAGGTATAAATTTGCTGCGATTGATCCGGTTACAATATTCCGACTTTGAAGAATTACAGATTCCTTTATAGTACGGTTTTAAAGCTTAAAAAAGTTATTAATCGATACGATAATTAAAATCATTATTCCTGAAATCAACGGAATTAATTATCCAGACTATGCGAAGGATTGCTATATATTGAGAATCAAACTTCCTCTTGGCTACGACTTCATACCTCTATTATTTAATAAATAAATTTATCATGATTTCTTTATTAATTGAGATATTTTAACTAATTATTTTTATTGATGAAAAATCTCTGCTATTAAGTCAATAATTTATAAGGGGGAAAAAAAAACGAGCCAGCCAGGATTAGAACCTGGAATCTCCTGATCCGCAGTCAGGCACGTTATCCGTTGCGCCACTGGCCCACGTAAGTACTGCCCGTGTGACGATATATAATCTAGGACGCAATCTCTTTTAAATTATGGTATTTAAGATTCGACCGGTTGGAGTAAATTAACAGGTTAGTCACCATAACCTTCGAATTTGTCGTACTTGAATATTTTTTCTTCTGACATATTTAAAGACACTGCTTCAGTATGCGTACATGATTTTGCAAGAAACTATAGTTCAACTATAGAAACTATAGGATTCAATTATTCGGGAATCTCCCAGCGTTGTCTAAGAAATGCACCAACCCTTACACTGATGTAACATTATCAGCTGTCATTGGATGCCTCCTCGGTATGTTCATTCTAAATTGCAGTGGCACAAGGAGACACAGTTGAACCACCGAATTGGTGCTCCCATTTTAAATAAACTTAATAAGCTCAGGGCAGGGATGGGCAAACAACCAACTCCGAAGAAGGTTCTATCCGGCCCACGGATGCTCCCATTTTATAATTAAAAGAAATATATAAACTTTCTAAATATGCCAAAAATAGAGTTTTACAAATCATTTCGAAAGTAAGTTTTCCAAATTTAATATCTCACACCCAGAAAATTATGCTAATCTTATATATGTGAACAAGAACTGTGTAGAAAGAATTATTTCAGAAGTAGACTGACAGATGAGCATTTAGCCTCGTTCCTTAAATCAGTACATCATTAATGTCAATTTCATTCATCTCATTAACATATTTAAATTGAATCTTCTATATTGTTTTTAAAATTTTAGAAAAATTTTCTTGGCCTAATTTTATTTTCGGCCCGCGATTTGCCCAATGTATTTACCAATAAATAAAAAAATGAAAATTACTTAATTTTATATTTGTTATTTACAAATAAATAAAAATGAACAACTTCTTTTGGTCTTCTTTCTTTTATACATACCTCTGCTCTTCAAGGTGACAATCACAATTTTTAAAGCACAAATGCTAATTTTTTATTTTATTTCGAAATCAATAAATCTCTTTAAATTTCAAAAGTGAATTACTAGTTTAGGTACTTAACTAGGGACACACAAATTAAATTTTATTGGTGCAAGTGTTAAAGAAAACAAGTGAACGGACACAAATGATCTGCGGATTATATTAAAGGACCCAATGTATTGTTAATGCGGTTTATAAATAGGAAATTAAGAGAAATTTTAAAAAATATCCCAATATTTTAAACTGCTTAAAACAAAAGTCTCATGTAAATAAAAAAAAATAAAAAATTTATTATACACTTACAAAAGTTGACAGCAACTTATTGATCTCTTGCAACACCAAAGATTTTAATATTTTACAACTTCCTCAAGCAAAATAAAATGCTATCAATTCCAAAAACGTATATCGAATCAAACTATATATAAACACTCTGCTGACTCCAAAATGTGCTTACATGCGAAAGAATGTTTTTTTCCTAGACAAATTATATGCGCTGTGACGAAAGAAAAAAGAAAAGAAGATTCTTCTCAGGACCTATTGGAGAACAAATAGCAGCAATTGTAGATTTGATATGAAGTAAATGTGTTCTGATTAGAATTCTAACGATATAGTTGTTAAATTTAGCTTTGAAATGAAAAATAAGAATCTTTGGCCCAACTAAATGCGATATGAAGTTATAAAACTGATTTCGAAATAAACTCTTGGCGTAATTTTTGTACTAAGAATTGGCGAGTGAGAATAAACAAACAGTATAGAAGTTTAAATTTTAT